AAAGGGGTTGATAGCAAGAACCTACAAGACTACCATTTTAGCAGGTTACCTAAGAATAAGAACCTACCAAAAGGGGTTTATGGCAAGAACCTACCCCCCAACCCCAAAGTAAAATCCCTATTGAAAACTGTTAGGCTGCTAGTATAAGGGGGAACATCCTTTTCTTCAGGTGAACTTGAACCCTAAACCCTAAACCCTAAACCTTAAACCCTAAACCCTAAACCCTAAACCCTCACACTGAGCTCGGATCAGGCCATCGCAGCCGAAGTCCGCGAGGGAAGGGGGGGCGCGAGCCCGTCAACAAAATCCCGCCCTGCTGCTGGGAGCCACAAGGGAACGGCAGAGCAGCAGATTAAAAAAAGAAGGGTTTGGGGTTTGGGGCTTAGGGTTTGGGGTTTAGGGTGTGGGCTTTAGGGTTTAAGGTTTAGCGTTTAGGGCTGAGGGTAATTGGTGACATGGGTACATGTAGAACCCTAATAAAGGGCTACAAGGGGGGTATGACGTGCTGAAACTCCCTGCTTCCGTAAAAATTCTGCAGGAGGTTTGAGGCAGCTTAGGTATGGACTCCTTCCGATTTAGGGTTTAGGGTCTCGGGTTTAGGGTTTATGCGAGGGTTTAGGGTTTAGGGTTTAGGGTTTAGGGTTTAGGGTTTAGGGTTTAGGGTTTAGGGTTTAGGGTTTAGGGTTTAGGGTTTAGGGTTTAGGGTTTAGGGTTTAGGGTTTATGCGAGAGATCATGCGGACCCATCCAGAAGCGATCAGCACTTGTGGTTGGCTTAGAAGCAGTGGTTACTGATGTCGTTGCCTGTGCACCGACCTATACTCAGCCCGCTCATGCACAACATTACGAATTGCCAGGGCGCGCACAATTGAAAGCGGACGATTGGCAGAGAGAGGCGGGTTTGGGGTTTAGGTTTTAGGGTTTAGGGTTGAGGGAGGGTTTTAGGGTTTTAGGAATTTAGGGTTTTCGGGTTTTTAGGGTTTTTGGGTTTTTGGGGTTTAGGATCATGTTCCCTCGAACTTTCTACAAGTTACGACCCACACGAAACGGCCAGGGAAGGGGCACCAGCACGCTGGTGTCGCCGGCCTCCGCGGCCATTGCCGGCCTGAGGGAGCTGTTGTTCATTAGTCGCTTAGGGTTTCGGGTTTCGGGTTTAGGGTTTTGGGTTCCAAGTTTAGGATTTATATAGGTTCAACCCTGAAGCCTAAACACCTGAAGCCCCTAAACCTTGAAGCCCTAAACCTCCACAGCCTCAACCCGAGAGGCAGCCGCAAAACCCCCCAAACCCAACCAAAGCTCCAAGCCTCCTGAAAAACCCCCTTAGGGTTTAGGGTTTAGGGTTTAGGGTTTAGGGTTTAGGGTTTAGGGTTTAGGGTTTAGGGTTTAGGGGTTAGGGTTTAGGGTTTAGGGTTTAGGGTTTAGGGTTTAGGGTTTAGGGTTTAGGGTTTAGGGTTTAGGGTTTAGGGTTTAGGGTTTAGGGTCCCCCAAAACCCCCAAAACCTTAAAGCCCCAAGCCCCAAGCCCCAAAACGACCGAAAGCCAACACAAACCTGAAACCGAGCCAAAAGAGGCCAGCAGCCTAGATGACAAACCCTGAACCCTAAACCCTACCAAACCCTAAACCCTACTAAACCCTAAACCTGAAACCTCTAGGAACCCTAAACCCTAAACCCTAAACCCTAAACCCTAAACCCTAAACCCTAAACCCTAAACCCTAAACCCTAAACCCTAAGCAGGGGTTGCACTTCGGGGTCATGGTGCGGATGTTGGGCTTCTTGTGGAGATCAAAGGCCTCAGGGCTTAGGGGTTTAGGGTTTTGGGGTATTGGGTTTGGGGGCTTAGGGTTTAGGGTTTAGGGTTTAGGGTTTAGGGTCTAGGGTCTAGGGTTTAGGGTCTAGGGTCTAGGGTTTAGGGTCTAGGGTCTAGGGTCTAGGGTTTAGATGGACCTTAACGGCAAAGCTTACCAGGGTCCCGGGCCACAAGGGTCTCAGCAGCAGATGCGGGACCCTAAGCCCTTAAAAAGGGGCCACATGCGACTCATCTAGGTATACAAGTTTAGGGGCTAATTCGGGTTGAGGGTTTAGGGTTTAGGAAGCTACCAGGGTTCATGTTCTGGGTTTAGGCCTCTCACGTGCAAACGAGACACCAGGGCTCTCTTTCTTGGCGGGGCTATACAACGCCTCAGCCCTCAACCCTGAATCCTAAACCCCTTCTAGTTGAATTTGTTGGTCTGGGTCGGAGAAGCTCAAGACATGGTGGCCTTGGGGGTTGGGTTGAGGGGGCAGGGTTGAGGACCCTCTGTTGCATCTTGGCAGTTTGGGTCTAAGCTCCAGTCGCCTCTTGAGCCACGTCGGAGAATCTGGTCGCATGTACAGCGCGTCAAACATCAACTCTTACATTGCTGGAACGGTACTGTCACCACGGCGGTACTTCTCTTACTTTGTATCAGGAGCGAGTGAGGCGCGAACCTCTATTGTGATGTGGAAAGTCTTGTAGATTATGGCAATCACCATTGGAACCAAGAAATGGATCCTCACAGCTGCATTTGTTGCGCCATTTACACGAGTCTGGCCTCCCCAACGACCGATATCTATCTTGGCTGTGTCGGCATGTTGGTGGGACACTACCTCAGTCTTGAATTGCAGCCTACGTCTTCGCTTAGGGTTTAGGGTTTAGGGTTTAGGGCTTCGGGTTTAGGATTTAGGGTTTCGGGTTTCGGGTTTGGGGTTTAGGGTTTAGGGTTTAGGGTTTAGGGCCTGGGGTTTAGGGTTTAGGGTTTAGGGTGGTTGAACAACACCACCACATCCATCTCGACATGCACAAAACTCGACAACTCCAGAGACTCCAACTGCTGAAAACCGACTCCAAGCCAAGGAACCCTAAACCCCAAACCCTACACCCTAAACCCTAAACCCTCAACATCCTCAATCTTTTTGACTCTGCACGGTCAGGTGCCGGACCCAAAAGCAGGGTCCTGCCTACATCGATGTGCCATGCGCCATGGGCTTTTGGGATTGGCGTCTAAGGGTCTGGAATTGGTGTAGGGACCCTAAACCCTAAAGCCTAAACCCTAAACCCTACACCCTAAACCCTAAACCCTCAGATGGCCCACAAGCAAAGGACCTAAGGCCATTTCTGACAGGCCAAGCTAGTTGCAGCCACAGAGAGCGGGCACGCACGGAGCGAGAGCCTTGTCTAGAGTGTCCGTTTTGGGTCTTACATGTAGGGTTTAGGGTTTGGGGTTTAGGCTTAAGGCTGAGGGTTTAAGATACTAGTTCGCCGGGCTCCAATGCACAACCTTCATGACTGGCTAAACTTTGCTACAGTACAGCACTTCGCGGTGCCAAGCAACACCTCATTCTTGGCGTGATTTGTCATTCGGGACCCTAAACCCTAAACCCGACATCCTAAACCCTGCGCTCTTTACAGTAGGAACAGTGCGTGCCGCCCTTGTTCTGCCATCGCACCCCCCTGGCAGCGGAACTCAGGATGGTCAAACCTGGGGCGAGATTCAAAGAATAGAAAAGATGCGCGATATGCCGGAAAAAAACACCGCCTACGCCCCAAACCCCCTAAACCCCTAAACCCTAAACCCCTAGCACCCTAAACCCTAACACCCTAAACCCTAGACCCTAAACTCCCCAAACCCTAAACCCTAAACTGCAACCCAGCACCACTGAAAGCAGAGGCGACCCGCTTCGGTGCGGCCCAAGATGCCCAGCATCCCAGTTCCGCCGACGCTACCTCATGCGCTTGAAGGTTTTGGGCTGGGGGGGTTTAGGAATTTAGGGTTTAGGGTCTAGGGCTTAGGGCTCAGGGTTTTGGGTTTAGGGTTGAGGGTACGAACTCCTTCGCACTGATCCCACCCCCAGCTGTATCGACAAAGCGCCCCAGGAAGAAGCGGCACCTATTTGTGGGTTGTGGGGGACCAGATCAAGGCTCTTGAAGCCCTCAATTGCTTGCCAGGCCTTAGAGCTTCCAGCAGGGCTCAACCCAGCGACCCTTAGAAAACTCAGCGTTTAGGTTTCACAAGGATGTGTGATCCTCTGTTTTGTGAGCACCCGGAATCCTAAACCCTGAACCCTAAACCCTAAACCCTAACCCTAAACCCTAAACCCTAAACCCTAAACCCTAAACCCTAAACTCTGCCTCAGCCCCCGGCAGATCATTCACGCCGCCTCACCATCCTCCTGGTCGGGGCCCTGGAAGGATGGTTTAGGGTTTAGGGATTGGGGTTTAGGGTTTGGGGTTTGGGGTTTAGGGTTTGGGGTTTAGGGTGTGGGGTTCACCTAAATCACCGCACAACCCTGACGCGAAACACTCAACCCCATTGTCAACATGTTGAAGCGTGTAGAGAACAGGGCTTGCTGATAAGTTAAGGCGTGGGGGGGAATTCAGGGTTTGCCCCTGCGAGGTGTTTGGAAGAGTTCAGGGATTATGGTGTCAGGGCTTACAGGGTTTAGGGCTTAGGGCTTAGGGTTTAGGGTTTCGGGCTGACGGACGGCATCAGAACCCTTGCAGGGTTTTCGGGCTTCGGAATTTCGCCCCTCAAAGCCGTACACTCGGCGAAGCCAAAGCCCGTCCAAGAGGAGCGGAACCTGTTGCGACCGCCAAGGGGTTGCACCTGGGACCCTTAAGGTTCTACCCTTGGGTTTTGAGGACCCTTGTTAAAGATCTTTAGGACACATCTATATCTATATCTGTATCTGTATCTATATCGATATATATATATACATATCTATATATATCTACATATATGTATATGTATACATAATGTATGTAATGTTCTTTTCATGTATGTATGGGACCTACTGGGAGTGAATTAAGGGGAAGCCTTAGGGGTACAACTTTGGGGGTACGAGTCTCAATCCCTTCTGAGACAGGGCACCCCTCGAAACCGTAAACCCTACACCCTACACCCTACACCCTACACCCTAAACCCTAAACCCTAAACCCTAAACCCTAAACCCTAAACCCTAAACCCTAAACCCTAAACCCTAAACCCTAAACCCTAAACCCTAAACCCTAAACCCTAAACCCTACACCACCTTTTCCTCCGCCCTCCATCTCCCTGTACAGCGGGGGCCGGCCTCTGGTGAGCCGAGGCCAGACACACATGGTAAGGCTCCTAGAGCCAAGCCCGCAAATCCGAAAAATCCGAACACCGATGTTATGTGGGCATCTTGCGCATTCTTGGGCATCTTAAAGGGGTTCTTTAAGGGCGGGGGGGGAAAAGGCCTACAGGTACACCCCGAGCTGAGCTGTTAGCCGGTCAGAAGACCGACGGCTTCGGCGATGTCGCCACTGGCCTTCTGCAACGCCTCCCTGGCAGCTTCGGTTGGAAAGCCCATGGCTTCCAGTTGCCTTGTCAAGGCATGACATGACTTCTATGGAGGTTTCCGACATTAGGGGGTACCGTATTGGGGTCCTTATTCTTTTTTGGGGTCCCTTATGCCTTATGCCCTGTGGTTTAGGACTCAAATGCCCCCGTCTTCTAGGCCTTTACTTCTAGGGCGTAATTAGGGCAACGGCTACGTACTGATTCTGATGAGTATAAGCTCCGAAAAACCAGGACGAACAAATTTATCAACGAATGAGCAATGCCTGGAGCCAAGCGGCCCAAGGGCGTCGGGGGCGTCGGCCTCGGCGTCGCGGGGGCCCGGCGCCACATCCACCGCCTCCCCGGCCTCCCGGGCCCTGTCCGCAGCCAGGCCGGCTTGGAACTCCGCATCCTGCTCCTCCACGAGCCTCCGGCGCTCCGAGGCCTCGACCTGCGCCTGCGACAGGCGCAGCGCGCGCTGCAACTGGGACTCCTCGGACTCCTCCTCCAGGAGGGGAAGGGCCGGGGCGCCCCCGACCCGGACCCAGCTGTTGACGGCGCGCTCCAGGGCCACGGGCGGCTTCCGCTCGGCTTCGACTTCCAGGGTGTTGAACTCGTGGTAGTCCTTGCTCAGGGCGTCGCCCAACCCGACCGGTGCCTCGCTCCACGTCTTCCGGGCCTGCAGCAGCTCCTTCTCAAAGAGGGAGGACTCACACATCTGGGTCAAGCGCCCAGCGCAGGCGTGAAGCCACCGAAGGGTTCCCTCACCCCGGAAGAGCGCCGCGCAGCGGTGGACGAAGGCTTCCGAGACCAAGCCGTGAATTCGGGAGTGCTGGTGCACAATGTGCGTGTGAGGCGCGAAAGGGCTCTTCTCCAGGAACTGCTGCCAGGAGGCGCTGTAGGGCGAGCCACCGGGAGCCGCTCCCAGCGACACGCTCAGTGCCTGCAGGATCGGGCGCAGCGTCCTAGGAAACAGCAGCATGGCACGCATCAATGCGACGTGGGGTCTCGAGGGGCCGTCTTCTGAACGCTCTTGCCGGCTCCAGCAAGGCTGTGTGAGGTCCTCCACCGAAACCGTGCTGATGGCGGCCGCTTCGTCGGTGTCCCGTGTGACCTGCCGTCCCCCGGACTTCAAAAAGTGCAGAGCCAGCGCAGTTGCATAGGCAAAGTTGGGCATTGCACAGTCTAAGCGAAGGATGGTCTGGCCTGCAACCGAGCAAGGCAAGTCGAAGCCTTCCGCAATGTCAACCAGCAGAGCATACTCTTGGGCGCGCAAGCAGAGAAAGTCCAGGTGAACCTTGCAAGCCGAGCTAGGAAGCACATCCAGGACAGTTCGGTGCTTTTCGCATACCTTGAGGGGGATACTGTATACAGAATGACCCTTCCTTCTTATATATGCATATGCCTAACCCATCTAGGACGGGACAGCCCATCAAGATGTTTGCTTCTCATGTTAGAGCAGGTCCACCAGCGCGTGCAGGGGATCACGAGGGAGCGTCATGGCCAGGAGAAGCTTACAGACTTCCAGGGCCGTGCGCGGCAAGCCCTGCGTCGCCAGGCTCAACATGTAGGCCCAAAGAACCGCCAGCCAAGACCAGCCTGGCCAACTTGCCTCCTTGGCCACACGCTCTTAAGTAACTTCAGCATCCCCAGAATAGGGCCCCTCAAGCTTTGTGCAGATGCAAGAGTGTTCCCAAGCTTTTGTAAAGATGCAAAGGCGCTCCACTGCATAGAACCCAGAACCCGATGGACTCTATTTCGAAGGTTCGGAGACTCCCTGAGGTGCCACCCTCTTCCCTCTTCCCTCTTCCCTCTTCCCTCGTTTTGGCCCCCTTTTCGGACGGCTATACCGAGGCTCCCTCAACCTGAAACCCCAACTCTAAAACCTAAACCCGGTACATTTTACAGATTAAGGGCCCTGAACCCTAAACCCTAAACCCTAAACCCTAAACCCTAAACCCTAAACCCTAAACCCTAAACCCTAAACGCATTTGCAGGCCAGCCTCGTCATCAAGATGCAGGCGCACCCTCGGCCAGCTGACAGAGACCTCTCGGCCGTCGCGCTGGACCGCGATGCTCGCCTTGGCGGGCTCAAAAAAGAGCTATATAGGCTAGGGTTTAGGGTTGAGGGTTGAGGGTCGAGGGTTGAGGGTTGAAGGAAGAGGGTTGAGGGTTTAGGTGTAAACGGAACGCCTCGGCAAAGGGCGAGAAGGAGCCATGGAAGCTACACTCCACGGCGTACGCCGCAGTGCGCAGGAGCTGAAAGGCGTCCTGATGCTGCCCTGACTGTCGGCAGATGTCGGAGAGCACAAAGAGCGCCTCGACGCAGAAGGGATGCTCCAAGATGAAGGCGTTCACCTCCTCGGGATCCTGCAACATCGCAACCCCTCCAAACTCCACCTTTGTGACGTCGTACTCGGGGGTCCCGGTCACCGAAAACAGAGGGTCGGCGCCTTCCCGCGCCAGCATCTGCGCGCACTCACCCGGGCGCGGCCAGGCCTCCTCTGGGGAGGGCTCTACGAGGAAGAGCCGCCGGTAGTGAGCGAAGTATCCCTCGTGCACTCCGCGGCTCTTCGTCGCTGATTTCCGGCCCTCCGCCTTGGCCCTGGGCACCTTCAGCTTGCCGAAGAGGCGCTGGCGCTCGCGGTCCGCGCTGAAGAAGGTCTTGGACATGGACAGGACGCAGGTCCTCAGCCACAGAAAATAACAATAGTAATTAGCAGTGACTCAAAATTCATGAACTACTGAATGCAATAATGAACGAAGTTATTAAATACTCAACTCATTAACAAGATGTTAATGTTAAAACAGTAGTAGTAGTAGTAGTAGTAGTAGTAGTAGTAGTAGTAGTAGTAGTAGTAGTAGTAGTAGTAGCAGTAGCAGTAGCAGTAGCAGTAGCAGTAGCAGTAGCAGTAAGTAGTAGTAGTAGTAGTAGTAGTAGTAGTAGTAGTAGTAGTAGTAGTAGTAGTAGTAGTAGTAGTAGTAGTAGCCATGCGCGCTTTCTGGCGCCTGGTCTTTCCTGCAGGGGTGGGGGGGGGGGTGGGGGGGAGGGGGGGTGGGGGAGGGGGGGGGGGGTGGGGGGGAGGGGGGGAGGGGGAGGGGGGGGGGGGTTGGGTACGTCCGGGCCCGTGAATTTCCCTGCCTGAACCTGAAGCGCAAAAGCAGAATATATTGAATATAGTTTTTTCGTATGCCTGATATATTATTTTTTCTTTTATTATGCTTGTTATTTATTGCTATTCTTTTATCTTACATATTATACTACATATTACATATTCCATACTATGTAGCATAAGATAAATAGTGCACTATGGGTCTGATATATATTATATATTTCATGCTCTATATTCTATATATATATATATTACATGATCCCAAGGGCTGTCAGCAAAGCCCCAAAACCTGGGAGTGCTCAAGGTGCAGACTGCGTGAGGAAAACATCTGTCTCTGTCTTTGACAATTTTTTGGGGTTTAGGCTTGAAGGTTTTACAGCCTCAACCCCAAACCCTCAAGTGCAAGCCCAAAAGTCCTTTGACCTTGACCTAGGTTTTACGGTTTACAGTAGGGTTTAGGTTTTGTCGGGTTTCGCGTTTCGGGCTTCGATTTCGGGCTTAAAATTAGTTAGCGCGATCTTCGCGTTTTGAGACTTTTTACACACATGTCACATGTCCAAATACATCGCAAACACATGGTTTCCAACACCTCACACACCCCAAAGCACCAGGCGCCCTGAGGCGCGCAACCCTAGTAGTAGTAGTAGTCGTAGTAGTAGTAGTAGTAGTAGTAGTAGTAGTAGTAGTAGTAGTAGTAGTAGTAGTAGTAGTAGTGGTAGTAGTAGTAGCAGCAGCAGTAGCAGTAGCAGTAGCAGTAGCAGTAGCAGTAGCAGTAGCAGTAGCAGTAGCAGTAGTAGTAGTAGTAGTAGTAGTAGTAGTAGTAGTAGTAGTAGTAGTAGTAGTAGTACGCGCTGGTTACGTACGCGACGGTGTGGTGCTTGCGCAGGACTGGCAGGAAATGCATGCGTTTTACAGTGTTTTCAGCTGATGGCAGGTGAGTGGCAGGGTTTGTCTTATCTTGTTTTTTTTGTCATGGAAGACACTGAGCGGACTTGAGTGCTGGGCTCAAGCGGACATGGATGCTCTGGTAACGCGGACGTTATCATCGTGCGGACATAAATGCTCCGGTAACAGGGACGTTATCGTCGTGCGGACATGGATGCTCTGGCCAATCGCAAGCCATGAAGCCACGAAGTGTCGCAAATACCGATGTTTTTGCATGGAGGTTATCATCGTGAGGACATGGATGCTCTGGCAATTGCGAACGCAGTGGTCACACAAACGTTATCATCGCGCGGACATGGATGCTCTGGTAACACGGACGTTATCATCGTGCGGACATGGATGCTCTGGTAACATGGACGTTACCAGTTATCATCGTGTCAACATGGATGCGCTGGTAACACGGACGTTATCATCGTGCGGACATGGATGCTCTGCAAAAAAAACACGAAGTGTCGTAAATACCGATGTTTCAGTTTAACAGCCCAAACCCAAACTGGCAAGGCGTACGGTGCAGGTACATGTAGAAAGAAGAAAAGACAAAGGGGCACTGGAGCCTGGAATGTGCGCGAAACCTAGGTTTTAGCACTGGGAATCGAAGAAAATGACACCGTCGCGAATGGTACCGACACCTAGTAGTAGTAGTAGTAGTAGTAGTAGTAGTAGTAGTAGTAGTAGTAGTAGTAGTAGTAGTAGTAGTAGTAGTAGTAGTAGTAGTAGTAGTAGTATAGTAGTAGTAGTAGTAGTAGTAGTAGTAGTAGTAGTAGTAGTAGTAGTAGTAGTAGTAGTAGTAGTAGTAGTAGTAGTAGTAGTAGTAGTAGTAGTAGTAGTAGTAGTAGTAGTATTAGTAGTAGTAGTAGTAGTAGTAGAGTAGTAGTAGTAGTAGTAGTAGTAGTAGTAGTAGTAGTAGTAGTAGTAGTAGTAGTAGTAGTAGTAGTAGTAAGTAGTAGTAGTAGTAGTAGTAGTAGTAATCATAAGAAATATCATAAAAAGTAACTATCATCCTATGGCAAGCGATCCGATGCACTTCTCGAAAACGGAGCCGGATGTCTAGAACACACAGTTCCATCAGGGTTTAAGGTTTATGGTTTAAGGTAAGGCCAATGAGCGCTTCTGCAATAAAAAAGCAGGGAGCACTGACAGCTGGAAGAAATTCGATTGCCTGCGCCCCCAAGGCCCAAACCCCTAAACATCGAACCCTTAAACCCCGAACCTTGAAGCCTGAACTCTGAAAACACCCTACACCCCCCGAAGATTCCTAAGGGAGCTGCAGCCTAAACCCTAAACCCTAAACCCGAAACCCGAAACCCGAAACCCGAAACCCTAAACCCTAAACCCTAAACCCTAAACCCTAAACCCTAAACCCTAAACCCTAAACCCTAAACCCTAAACCCCAGGCCGAGGCACCCCTGCGGCTCCGGCTCCCCTGCTGCCACCGAGGCAGCAGCCTCGGCGACGGCCGCGTCGAGGAGCCTTTGCAGGGAGTTTAGGGTTTAGGGTTTAGGGTTTAGGGTTCAGGGTTTAGGGTTTCGGGTCTAGGGTTTAGGGTTTAAGGCTTCGGGTTTAGGGTTCAGGATTTAGGGTTTCGGGTCTAGGGTTTAGGGTTTAAGGCTTCGGGTTTAGGGCTTTGGGTTTAGGGTTTAGGGTTTAGGGTTTAGGGTTTAGGGTTTAGGGTTTAGGGTTTAGGGTTTAGGGTTTAGGGTTTAGGGTTTAGGGTTTAAGGCTTCGGGTTAGGGCTTTGGGTTTAGTAGGGTTTAGGGCTGCGGGAAAACTGTTAGGGTTTAGGCTCATATAGGTTCTGGAGTTTTAAAGGTCCATGTTTGCTTCGAAGGGCTTTCTAGGAAGGATTAGGTGCCGTGTCTGGGGGTTCAGGGTCTCGGGTGTAGGATTTGTGCTGTCCAGGCGCGCGCACACTCAGGTCGCAATCCTTAATCCCTAGACCCGAAGAAGAAGAGTAAGAAGGCAGTTGACTTGAGTTTAGGCCGAGACCCCAAAAGGAATAGGTTCGGGGTTTCAGGGTTCAGGGGTTTTGGGGTTTAGGGGTTTAGGGGTTTAAGGGTTTAGGGGTTTAGGGCTTAGGGGTTTAGGGTTTAGGGCTTCGGGCTTCGGTCTTAGGGTTTAGGGTCTAGGGTCTAGGGTCTGGGGTCTAGGGTCTAGGGTCTAGGGTTTAGGGCTCTGCCGCCTGAGACGGGGTGGGGTGGGATTAAAGCGCTAGATCGCCTCCACAATCGGGCTAGTCTGCACAGCATACCCTAAACCCTAAGCCCTGAACCCTAAACCCTGAAAGAACCTACGCCCTAAACTCGCCCTAAACCCTAAGCCCTCGCCTTAAACCCTAAACCCCAAACCATAAACCCTACACCCTAAACCCTAAACCCTAAACCCTGAACCCTAAACCCTAAACCCTACACCCTACACCCTACACCCTAAACCCTAAACCCTGAACCCTGAACCCTAAACCCTAAACCCTAAACCCTAAACCCTAGCCGAGGAGCTTGTCGTCGTCATCGACGTCCGGATACCCGGCGCCCTTGGAGTCCTGCTTCTTGCCCTTCTTCCTGGAGCTTCAGGTTTAGGGTTTAGAGTTTAGGGTTTAGGGTTTAGGGTTTAGGGTTTAGGGTTTAGGGTTTAGGGTTTAGGGATTAGGGTTTAGGGTTTAGGGTTTTAGCGTTCCTGGGTTTGGGATGTGTAGGCTTCTGGGCTGATCGGGCGTCGGGAATCTCAAACCCGAACTGCCGGCTTCGGCCTTTACCCAACTGAATGGAAGCCGCCCCCGCCACCTTTTTGTCACCCTAAACCCTAAACCCCAAACCCTAAACCCTAAACCCTAAACCCTAGACCGCACAAGCGCCAGCAACAAGCCAACAGAAAACTCCAAAGCCTCAAACCCCAAGACCAACCCTGAGACCCCAAACCCTAAACCCTAAGCCCTAAGCCCTAAGCCCTAATCCCTAAGCCCTAAGCCCTAAGCCCTAATCCCTAAGCTGCCCTAATCCCTAAACCCTCAAATCCCAAGCAAGCCTAAGCAACCTAAACCCTAAACCCAAAGCCCTAAACCCCAAGCAAGCCTAAACAACCTAAACCCAAGAACCTTGTGCAGCTTCTCAGCTTAGCCGCTTCTTCTTCTTCCCCTTGCTGCCTTGGGGTGCGGGCTCGGCGGCTTTCGGCATCCCGCCCTCCTCGAGCTCGGAGCCCGAGGACACGGCCAGGGCGGAGAAGCCGATGGGGCCCTGTAGTTCTCTGCATGGGGTGTGTTTTTGGGAGCTTGGAACGTTCTGGGCGCTTTTTTGGAGGGTTTTGGGGAAACCCCAAACCCCAAAAGCCCCCAACACCCCCCCACCCCAAAACCTAAACCCCCCCCAAACCAAAGCCCCCCCTCCCCCACCCCAACAAAGCCCCGCCCCGCACACCCTAAACCCTAAACCCTAAGCCCTAAGCCCTAAACCCTAAACCCTAAACCCCCCCAAACCCGAAAGCCGAGGCGCGCTCACCGGCGGCTCCGCGTCGCTGAGCTCCTCGGGGTCCACCGCGGGCCCGTCGCGCTGGAGCGCGCGCAGCTGCTTCATGGCTGGTGGCCGTGGTCTTGGAGTCTGAGTTGCGCTTTAAACCCTTTGAACAATTATGTTTATGAGTAGGGTCCCTTTATAAGGAAAGAGGGGGAGAAGTTAAAAGCTCCCCGAAAGCACAACCCAGCAGCTTGAGGCTTTAGGAACTTTAGGGTTTCAGGGCGCTAGGGCTGGATGTTCGGGTTTGGGGCCGTTTGGGTCTCAAAACTTAGGGGTTTTGGTTCGGGCTTGGGGCCAGTAGGACTGTCTAGGGTTTTGCGGCTTAGGTTTAGGTTTGAAGTGGGGGTGTTGAAGGGGTTGCTTAGGGTCGCTCTTAGGTCTGGAGGTACTCAGGCCCTTAAGGCTTAGCAGCCTCGGGTTCAGGAGTTCAGGGACTTGGGGTTCAGAGCCGGGACTTTTACGGCTCATCTTAGGGATTCAAGGTCGAGGTGTCTAAGATTGGCTCCAGAGGCTAGGGCTCGGCGCACGGAAGTGCAGCGGGGCGCTGTCCGCATGCACTAAACACGACTACCCTAAACCCTAAAACCTACGCCCTCAACCCTAGACCCTAGACTCTAGACCCTAGACCTTAAACCCTAACCACCACAACCACACCCCCAAACAAACACGCAAGAACCTCAAACCCCAGGCACAAGCTACTCGCCCTATGCTTTCGATGGCGCAGCATGGACAGCGCCTCCTCCGCCAGGACATCTTCATCCTCCTGACAGGTGCCAAGGCATCCAACCCGAACCCTAAACCCTAAACTCTGAACCTTAAACTCTAAATCCTAAACCCTAAACCCTAAACCCTGCATGTTCGATGTTCTGGTCCATCCCTCGCTTGCTGAACGCGCCTCTTCGGCGTCCGGTTTGTCGTCATCATCATCCTGACACAATAAGCTCACTCGCGCGCCCGCATCCGCAAGCACAACTGGGAGCTGCTCCAAAGCATGTCACCAGACAGATGCGGTGGAACAACCCTCATCCCTAAACCCTAACTCCTAAACCCTAAACCCTAAACCCTAAATCCTACACCCTAAACCCTAAACCCTAAACCCTCCATCCTGACTGGGGCGCCGCAATTCCCGGAATTATTTCACAGCAGCTGCGCAACAGCTGCCTCTGGCTCCATCGTCGGCTCCGTGGACGATCTGACCCTCAGCACCACAACAAGCTCCGTAGTCACGCCTCCGTTAGGGTTTCGGGTTTCGGGTTTAGGGTTTAGGGTTTAGGGTTTAGGGTTTAGGGTTTTGGGTTTAGGGTTTAGGGTTTAGGGTTCAGGTTTAGGGTTTAGGGTTTAGGGTTTAGGGTTTAGGGTTTAGGGTTTAGGGTTTAGGGTTTAGGGTTTAGGGTTTACGGTTCAAGCTTTGGGGCTAAGGGTTTGCCGGCAACCCAGTCTCTGCATGGAAGGCGTGAACGTGAGCAAAGCGGCCCCCGCAACCTGCAACTCGCAGCCCTCATCCCCAAACCCGAAACCCCAAACCCCAAACCCTAAACCCTTAACCTTAAACCCTAAACCCCAAACCCTACACCTTAAACCCAAACCCTAAACCCTCTTCTGGGTCCTGCGCCTTGGAGGTGGCGCCTTTGACCCCCAAAAGAGTTCAGATTGCACAAGGGAGGAGCTGTACGGCTTTGGGGAAGGTTCGGGTTGTAGGGTCTAGGGTCTAGGGTCTAGGGTCTAGGGTTTAGGGTTTAGGGTTTAGGGTTCGGGGTTTAGGGTTTGGGGTTTGGAGTTTGGAGTTTGGGGTTTGGGGTTTGGGGCTTGGGGTTAACGGGAGGGTTCAGGTCATTGAGGGCTTTGGTGGCTTGGGCCTCCAGAGCCCTGAGCCCTTGATCCTTTTCAACTTGCCAGGGTGTTGGGGTGTATGTTAAACACCCAGTCAAACGATTCTGAAGTCTACCCTGCAAACAGCTCATAGTCATAAACCCTAAACCCTAAACCCTAAACCCTAAACCCTAAACCCTAAACCCTAAACCCTAAACCCTAAACCCTAAACCGCCTAAACGGCCCTAAACCACCTAAACCCTAAATACCTTACTGAAGCCCAATACCATCCAGAATTCCCGGCCCAGGCTGTTTCAGGGGTGCTGGGGTGGGGGCTTCTGGGCGCAAGCCGCCCACAGAACTTTGGAAACCCAATGACCTCCTACTTCCGGCCATCGGCAACAAAAAAGACAGCTCACCAAAAAATCTGCGAACCCACACCCTGACACATCACACCCTAAAACTCAGCCCCCAAGAAAACAGGACCCCTGAGCTCTAAACTGCTAAACGGTTTAGGGTTTAGGGTTTAGGGTTTAGGGTTTAGGGTTTAGGGTTTAGGGTTTAGGGTTTAGGGTTTAGGGTTTAGGGTTTAGGGTTTAGGGTTTAGGGTTTAGGGTTTAGGGTTTAGGGTTTAGGGTAAACCCTAAACCCTAACCCTGAACCCAAATTTCTAAACCCCCCCAAACCTTCAACCCCCAGAAGCCACCCAGGAGCTGGGCCTCACCGTGAGAATCGAGACCCCTAACCCTAAACCCTAAACCCTACACCCTAAACCCCAAACCCTAAACCCCAAACCCCAAACCCCTAAACCCCAAACCCTAAACCCCAAACCCTAAACCCTAAACCTTCATCCCCCAGAACCCGATAAGAAGCTTGGCACATGGCCTTTGGCGGGTCCCCAAGGGGCGCGAGCAATGTGCGGTCCACAGCCTTGGGCATGTGGCTTCGGGCTTGTCGTTGGTATCGAGCTTCAGGGTTTGGGTTTAGGGTTTAGGGTTTAGGGTTTAGGGTTTAGGGTAAACCCTAAACCCTGACCCTGAACCCCAAATTTCTAAACCCCTAAACTGCTAAAGCCCAAGTCGCCAAACTCCTAACTTACTCGACCAAATCTACTTCCCAAGAAGGGCTTTGGCTTTGGGGTTCTGGGTCTCGTGTTTAGGGGAAAAGATCAGAGGGGCTTATGTAGGGCCTAAACTCAGGGTTTAGGGTTTAGGATTAGGGTTTAGGGTTCAGGGTTCAGGGTTCAGGGTTCAGGTTTCAGGGTTCAGGGTTTAGGGGTTTAGAGTTTAGGGTTTAGGGTTTAGGCTTTGGGCTTTAGGCTTTAGGCTTTAGGCTTTAGGCTTTAGGCTTTAGGCTTTAGGGTTTAGGGTTTAGGGCTTAGGGGGGTTAGGGTTCAGCAAGCCGGTGCCACCATTTGTCATTGGGCTCCCGGCCGTCAGGCGCAGGGCCTGGCAGAGGCAGGCGGAGGAAGCCAGGAGAACTTTGGTTGAAGTTGGGGCTTGGGGGCCTGAAGGAATCGAGTTGAGGGTAGGGTTTGCGGATTCCATACTTCCCTTAACATCTTGTAAGAATTCCCTTGGGCATTGTACTCAAAAATAGAAACATATCTCAAACGACTACGAAATGTGCACTCCCACAGCGTCCCGGCCTCTAACAATAAATATGATAATCATAATCATAATCTTAAATCTTAATTAATGACAGTAGCAATAGCAGCGGTAATCATAATAATACTACTAATAATAATACTTATAAGAAGAAGAAGAAGAATAATGATGATGCTAATAATAAGCATAATAATAACAATAATTCCTAAGCGTGCTATAGGCTTAGGCTTTCGGGGTTTAGGGTTTGGGGATGGCTCGGACGGGCGTCTGTCGAGAAAAGTGATGAAAGGGGTTTTGGGGGGGCGTCGGTTTGGCAGGGACTCGAAAACGATCCGATCCGAGCAGGGACACAGCGGATACCCTAAACCCTAAACCCTAAACCCTAAACCCTAAACCCTAAACCCTAAACCCTAAACCCTAAACCCTAAACCCTAAACCCTAAACCCTAAACCCTAAAACCCTAAACCCTAAACCCTAAACCTTCGGGCCCCAATGAAAGGCCTCGAGCGGCCCCAGTAGCTCCACGGACTGGGACATGGAGGGAAGCGCTGAGGGCTTCGAGGGCTTGGGGGCTTGGGGTTTGGGGGCTTGGGGGCTTGGGGTTTAGGGTTTAGGGTTTAGGGTTTAGGGTTTGGGGTTTAGGGTTTAGGGGTTGGGGTTTAGGGTTTAGGGTTTGAGGGCTTTTGTTCTTGCCTCTTGTTGTTTTTAGGCGTTTCAGGTTTTCAGACTTTGCTCCGAGGCTTATGGCGTGAAGTGGTCCAGGGCATGTGGGGCTGTCTGTTCTTAGCTTTCTCTCCAATGATGGATACCCTAAACCCAAACCCTAAACCTCAACCCTAAACCCTAAACCCCAAATCCTGAACCCTGTCAGCCCGCTCGGGCCGAAATCAATAGGGTTTGGGTTTTGGGGTTTGGGGTTTAGGGTTTAGGGTTTTCAGGGTTGAGGGCCTCAGCGGTTCCCAAGTCCCTATACTTTCCGAAGCCCGAGACAGAAATACCCTGAACCCTGAACTTCCCCAAGACCCTACACGTTTCTAGGCCCTAGGAAGGCCCTCAACCCCAAGCTTTCCTAAGTCCAAAACCTTCCTAAGCCATAAGCTCTAAGCCCTAAACCCTAAGCCCTACACCTTAAACCCTTTCCTGAGCTCCTCTGCACCGAAAACATCCAAGAGCCCCAGGCCTTGTCCAAGAGGCGGTCAAGCAG